CTGTGAATGACAGTAGCAGGAGCCAATGGCTACTGCTACTGTCTCAACTAATGAGGAGGGAGAGACTCGGGAGAGCCGAGGCTCTTGTGCACATCACTGGATCGAGATGGGGTTCAGGTAAGTTTTAGGGGGGGTTGAGGGCACTGCTGCACACAGAAGGTTTTTTACCTTCATGTATAGAATACATGAAGGTAAAAAACCTTCAGCCTTTACAACCACTTTAAGAAACCCGTCTTGCATGAGAGTCCCCTTTACATCACGGTGCCCATCAGAAGTCCCTGTTAAATCAGAGTTCCAGATAAAATTTGCGGCAGGCCAGATTTGGGCCATGGACTGTAATTTGGGGACCCCAGCAATAAGCTATAGAAAAGTATACTTGCTGTGTTACCAATAAAGATCAATAGCAGGAATGATCAGATATACTGTAAGGACATGTCCATGAATGCTTATAATCAATCTGGTGACAGGTGTTACCCTAGGTTCACATCTGTGCAGGTGGTGCCGCTGAGGATCCACATGAAAATCCGTGCATCTGCACCACCCGCACATAGAAATGTGGACACGCGGGCGGGGGCCATTAGTTCTAATTGCACGCTGCCTGCACTGGAAAACGCAACTGTACTGGAACCGAGTTCTTGTGTGGGATGCATTTTCCAAAGTAGTGCAGGGACCTCTTCCCTGCGTGTCACGGGCACGGGAGTCCATTCAAATAAATGGGCTCTCGTGCCCCTGCAGAACGCGGCCCGCACAGCCACATAGATGTGAACCGGGGGTAATGTTCAAGGTCTGTAAAATCTTATGCGGAAATTGACAGTCATTTAATGTTTGGTAAATGTGTGAACGGTTAGCATTTTTTACAAGCGCATCTACAAGACAAAATCTCCATGTCAGCCCCACTACTGTAGAGCAGGCAACCCTGAATGTTTATACTTGCTACAGTAAAGATTGGTGCGGGGGGGGGGGGCAGGAGGAGTAGAGATTGGTGTGGGGGGGGGGCAGGAGGAGTAGAGATTGGTGCAGGGGGGGTGGGCAGGAGGAGTAGAGATTGGTGCTGGGTTCAGAAATAGCAATTGGTGCTGGGAATGGGAGTAACGACTGGTGCTGGGGACAGGAGTAGCAATCAGTGCTGGGGATGGAAGTAGCAACGGTGCTGTGGACAGGAGTAGCAATTGGTGCTTGGCTTGGGAGTGGAGATTGGTGCTGGGGACAGGAGTAGCAATTGTTACTGGGAATGGGAGTAACGATTGGTGCTGGGGCAGGGGCAGCAATTGGTGCTGGGAATGGGAGTAACGACTGGTGCTGGGGACAGGAGTAGCAATCAGTGCTGGGGATGGAAGTAGCAATTGGTGCTGTGGACTGGAGTAGCGATTGGTGCTTGGCTTGGGAGTGGAGATTGGTGCTGGGGACAGGAGGAGTAGAGATTGGTGCAGGAATGGGGGGGGGTGGGCAGGAGGAGTAGAGATTGGTGCTGGGTTCAGGAAATAGCAATTGGTGCTGGGAATGGGAGTAACGACTGGTGCTGGGGACAGGAGTAGCAATCAGTGCTGGGGGTAAAAGTAGCAATTGGTGCTGTGGACTGGAGTAGCGATTGGTGCTTGCTTGGGAGTGGAGATTGGTGCTGGGGACAGGAGTAGTAATTGGTGCTTGGAATGGGAGTAGAGATTGGTGCTGGGGACAGGAGTAGCAGTTGGTGCTTGGAATGGGGGAGTACCAACTGGTGCTGGGGACTGGAGTAGTAGCAGTTGGTACTGGGAATTGGAGTAACGACTTGTGCTGGGGACAGAAGTAGCAATTGGTGCTGGAAATGGGAGTAAAGACTGGTGCTGGGGACAGGAGTAGCAATCAGTTCTGGGGATGGAAGTAGCAATTGGTGCTGTGGACTGGAGTAGTGATTGGTGCTTGGAATGGGAGAGTAACGATTGGTGCTGGGGACAGGAGTAGCAGTTGGTGCTTGGAATGGGAGTAACAACTTGTGCTGGGGAGAGGAGTAGCAGTTGGTGCTTGGAATGGGAGTAATAACTGGTGCTGGGGACAGAAGTAGCAATTGGTGCTTGGAATGGGAGTAACAACTGGTACAGGGGACAGGAGTAGCAGTTGGTGCTTGGAATGGGAGTAACAACTGGTGCTGGGGAGAGGAGTAGCAATTGGTATTGGGAATGGGAGTAACGATTGGTGCTGGGGACAGGAGTAGCAATTGGTAATGGCAATGGGAGTAACAACTGGTGCTGGGGACAGGAGTAGCAATTGGTACTGGGAATGGGAGTAGCGATTGGTGCTGGGGACAGGAGTAGCAGTTGGTGCTTGGAATGGGAGTAACAACTGGTGCTGCAGACAGGAGTAGCAATTGATACTGGGAATGGGAGTAACGGCTTGTGCTGGGGACAGGAGTAGCAATTGTTGCTGGAGATGGGAGTAGCAATTGGTGCTGGAGATGAGAGTTTAGCAATTGGTGCTGGGGACAGGAGTAGCAATTGGTGCTGGAAATGGTAGTAACAATTGCTGCTGTGGTCTGGAGTAGCAATTGGTTTTTGGCACGGGAATAACATATGATGCTGGGGACAGGAGTAGCAATTGGCGCTGGGAATAGGAGCAATGATTGGTGCTGGGGACAGGAGTAGCAATTGGTGCTGGAGATGGGAGTAGCAATTGCTGCAGTGGTCTGAAGTAGCAATTGGTTCTTGGCATGGGAATAACAAATGCTGGGAATGGGAGTAATGATTGGTGCTGGGGATAGGAGTAGCAATCAGTGCTGGGGATGGGAGTAACAATCGCTTCTGTGGCCAGGAGTAATTATTGGTTCCTAGTATGGGAATAGAGATTGGTACTGGGGACAAGAGTAGCAATTGGTGCAGGGGATGGGGAGTAACAATTGGTCCTGGGGACAGGAGTAGCAATTAGTGCTTGGGATGGGAGTAACAATCGCTTCTGTGGCCAGGAGTAATTATTGGTTCCTAGCATGGGAATAGAATAGAGTAGCAATTGGTACTGGGAGACGAAGCAGTAGCAATTGGTGCAGGGGATGGGAGTAACGATTGGTGCAGGGGATGGGAGTAACGATTGGTGCTAGGGCAGGAGTAGCAATTGTCTCTTGGCATGGGAGTAGATATTGGTGCTGGGGACAGGAGCAGAAATTGGTGCTGGGAATGGGAGTATTGACTAGGGACTTGATTTTTTCTCCTAGGTGAGAATGGTGGAAGGGGGCAGGCTTGATTGAAAAAAGTAAACAACTCCAAAAGGTCTGCGATTTTAGCCCTTGGAGGGGGGGGGCAGGAATGCAATGGGGAAAGTTTTTCTTTGAGCGATGGTCTGTTTTGCGAAGTGTCTTGTATTAAGGCCTGGTTGATGTGTTTTCTCGGTGCGTTTTGCGTTTCTCCACATGATTTTTTGGCGTGTTGTTGATGCATTTTGTGTTTTTGTCTTGCGGGAGAAACCAGCAAAAATGCAGCAGCAATGCATCAAAAACGCAAGCACTGCATATTCAATTTATTTCCGCTGCGTTTGCATTGAAGTCTATGGAACCAAAAACACAACCTGATCTTTTCCAAAAAGCACTTCGGTGGAAAATGCACAGATGTGAACGTGACCATAGGAAACCATGTTAAATGGATTGTAGTGTGTTTGTGCAAAACTGAAAACGCACTGAAAAATGCATAGGTGTGAACCAGGCCTAAAAGTGAACTTGTGCCCAGACTACGCACCATAAAAAATGTACATGTTCTGAACAAGCAGTAACAATAGTTGAAAACAAGTTCTTATTCACCTCTAAAGACATTATGAAGTAACTAAAGACATTATGAAGAAATTCAACTTCAAAATTCATAATAGAGGCACTCAAATAATTTTTTGGGGGAATATGGGAAATGAGAGGATTGCAGGTGGAGGGGTTGGGGGGGTAAAAATTTGTGCTGTGAAGGGGGCAGATTTGTACTGGGAGGAAGGGGAATTTATGCTTGAAGGGGGGAGGGGGGTAAGCATGCAGATTAGTTATTTTTTTAGAAGAGAGGGGGGGATTTTTCATGACACATAATTCTCATACATCGGGGGGGGGGGGGGGGGGGTTAAGGGGTGCAATTCGGCATGTTTGCCCTGGGTGGTGCAATGTGCAGAACTGGATTGCATATGTGTGAATTCCAATGCAATACGATTCTAGTGTGGACCTAAAAAAGGGTCCTGTACGTTTTTGGTACGGATGTGGTGCGACTAAAGCCATACAAAAGTTTGGCTCCAATCGCACTGCACACAAATCGCATGTGATTTGCAGAGGAATGCGGTGCGGTTCCTGTGCGAATCACATGCGATTTACCGCACCGCATATATGTGAACCCGAGCTCAAAAAGCTGTTTGGTCCTGACTTCTCTGCTCCTCCTCTTGTTCAAATGTCCACACCGATAAGTCAGACTGAACCTGTAGTCACTCTGCACATGCTCAGTTTAGTGTGTATTATTAGATAGTCTTATTTTTTCTTAGCAGGGTGCATGTGATCAGCACAGGGCCAATCAGCACTGTCCAGACAGAGGGTCAGGGGTCCTACAGCCTCATAGGACAATCAGGGGAGAATGAAATCTCCTCCTACAATTTGTAACCAATGCTCTGTTGAAATCACAAGACTGCTCTAACTGCTGATGAGAAAAGGTATTTAGCAGTTTTATAGTTACTAAAATAATTGCATTTCCATGTTCTGTGTACTGTGGGGACCAGATATAGTGAATGCAGGGTCCTGGGAGACCAGATATAGTGAATGCAGGGTCTGGGAGACCAGATATAGTGAATGCAGGGTCTGGGGAGACCAGATATAGTGAATGCAGGAGACCAGATATAGTGAATGCAGGGTCCGGGAGACCAGATATAGCAAATGCAGGGTCCTTGGAGACCAGATATAGTGAATGCAGGGTCCGGGGAGACCAGATATAGTGAATGCAGGGTCCGGGGAGACCAGATACAGTGAATGTTGGGTCCGGGAGACCAGATATAGCAAATGCAGGGTCCTGGGAGACCAGATATAGTGAATGCAGGGTCCGGGGAGACCAGATATAGTGAATGTAGGGTCCGGGGAGACCAGCTATAGTGAATGTAGGGTCCGGGGAGACCAGATATAGTGAATGCAGGGTCCGGGGAGACCGGATATAGTGAATGCAGGGTCCGGGGAGAGCAGCAGATATAGTGAATGCACTGTCTGGGGAGACCGGATATAGTGAATGCAGGGTCCGGGGAGACCGGATATAGTGAATGCAGGGTCCGGGGAGACCGGATATAGTGAATGCAGGGTCCGGGGAAAGCGGATATAGTGAATGCAGGATCCGGGGAGAGTGGATATAGTGAATGTGGGGTCCGGGGAGACCAGATATAGTGAACGTGGGGTCCAGAGAGAGTGGATATAGTGAATGTAGGATCCTGGGACAGCGGATATAGTGAATGCAGGGTCCTGGGAGAGCGGATATAGTGAATGCAGGGTCCGGGAAGAGCGGATATAGTGAATGCAGGGTCCGGGAAGAGCGGATATAGTGAATGCAGGGTTTGGGGTTTAAGTCCAGGAAGTGGCATGCACCTCATTGGACTTAACTCATAGCATGCCTACACATTTTACAAGAGAAATATGTGGCGCACTAAGAAGAAAAAACCCAGCTGTATAATGTGATGTCTGGTACATTAACCACACAAGTAAAGTCCTTAAAGTCCAAAGGTGGTTAAGGAATAATCCAACAATGCTTGGCTCAGTGGCAGATGATTCAGAAACAGCTAGAAGAGACTCTGTTTGAACCATAAAAGAGAGAGAAGCAGCGCCATCTAAGTGCAGCATTATAAATGGAAATAAATGATTTGGTTATATCGCTGCACTTAGATGGCGCTACTTTTTTTCTCTTTCATGCTGACATTTTACAACCCAGCTGAATTCCTGGAGTTCACCTTTAACCACTTGACCTCCAGAGGATTTACCCCCCTTAATGACACTGGCCTCTTTTTGCTAATCGGCGCTGCACTAATTCAACTGATAATTGCGCGGTCATGCATGCTGCACCCAAACTAAATTTACGTTCTTTTTTTCACACAAATAGAGCTTTCTTTCAGTGTAATTTGATCACCACGCTATAAACAAAAAAAAAGGCCAAAACGTTTGAAGAAAAACAATATTTTTTACTTTCAGCTATAAAAAATATATAGTAAACTCAAAGTTGGTTATAAATTTAGGCCAAAATGTATTCTGCTCCATGTTTTTGGTAAAAAAAAAATCCCAATAAGTGTATATTGATTGCTTTGTGTGGAAGTTATAGCGTCTACAAACTATGGTATAGATACTGCAATTTACGCCATTTTTCTGCTATACAGCGCTGCGCTAGTTTAACGGACAATTGTGCGGTCATGCAATACGGTACATAAATGAAATTTACATCCTTTTTTTCCCCACAAATTGAGCTTTCTTTTGGTGGTATTTGATTGCCTGTGCGGTTTTTATTTTTTGCACTATAAAAAAAAAGGCTGACAATTTTGAGGAAAAAAAAAACAATATTTTGGACTTTTTGCTATAAAACATGTCCAGTAAAAAAAAATGCAAAAATCAAATTTAGTCATAAATTTCTGCCAAAATGCATTCTGCGACATGTCTTTGCTAATAAAAAAACCCAATACGTGTAAATTAATTGGTTTACGTGAAAGTTATAGCGTTTACAAATGGCGGGAAAGATACTGGGATTTTTAGGGTTTTTTTTTTTTTATACTAATAATGGCGCGATCAGCGAATTATGGCGGCGATCAGGGACTTATGGCAGCGACCAGCGACTTATGGCGGGACTGCGGCGGACATTCTGACATTGGGGGGGTACTGACTTGGGGTCACTGACATCCCCAAAAATACAGTGATCAGTGCAAAAAGAAAACACTGACACTGTACTAATGGCATTGGGGAGGAAGGGGTTAACTTTATTTTGCAGGGAAGGGTTATAGGAGTGAGGGGAGTGTTTTACTAGGGGGGGGGGGTGTATACTGGGCGGGACAAGGCTGATCGAGAAAGAGAAACTGTTCTTTCTCGATCAGCTCATCCTCGAGCTGACAGGGAAGTAAACAGACAGCACAGCTACTGCAGCTGTGCTCTCTGTCACTGTTTGGCGCCGATCGCGGGGGAGATAGCCGGTAAGGACTGGCTGTGACCCGGCAACTCACATCTGTGGCGGTGATCGGCGGGACAGATAGGGCGGCGGCGCGCCTCGCGCGCGCCCCCTATTTGTTTACAAAACACACGTTTTAAAAACGTGGTTTTGCCTGCCCGTGCCGCCCTGCCGCCGTATATCTACAGTGGCTGGGCGGCAAGTGGTTAAGGTTTACATTTCATTAATTGAGGGTTCTTTGAATACATTTAGGAAGCACTACCCTAACGATTCGCTGAAGGAAAATACAATATACCGCAGCTTTGAATGAACTGTACAGATTTCAGCACATCCGAAGTGTCCTGTAGCAGCGCACAGTGTGGTGTGATTTATTTCTGCTTGTAGCCAAGGCTGTCAAACCCTTCCATAAACCATGACACGGAAATGGGCAGCCGAGCTGAGCACTGAGTCCTGCCAAGGGGGACACACAGAGCAGGCTTCACCAGATGCTACTGAATTCAGGAAAACAGCTGGAATTAGGAAGCAGGTGTATTTTGGAGCAGAAATAAAGGGGACGACTTCCTGCCCGGTTATTTTTTTTATCTTGATGATTTTATACTCTGGAGATCTGTTTTCTCACTAATGGCCAGAAAAAACTTGGAGAGAAGAACGTGTCTCACGGCTAATCCAGAGAGCTTAGCAACATCAGAGCGAGATGATTTCAGTCCCAAAACGTTCGGTTCACACACAATTTCACCAGTGCGATCGTCACAATATTGTAATCTTCGGGCTGCATGTAGGATTTTATTTGGCATCCCCGAGTTTCATATTGTAGAATCACAATGAGGTGTTACTATGGGAATCTTCTTACCGGGAAATAAATCCCCCAACTCCACTTCGGATTTATTATTGTTATTATATTAAAGGATTTATATAGAGCCAACAGTTTGCTCAGCGTTTACAATATAACAGGAGACAATACAGCAACAATTACAGTTCAATACAAGAGGGATAGGAGGGCCCTGATCCTGGGAGCTTACAGTCTAAGAGGGGAGGGGATAGTGGTACAAAAGGTAGTAACTGTGGGGGATGGACTGGTTGGAAGAGTAGAAGATTCCATTATTAGCTGAGGGCAGGATAGGCTTCCCTAAAAAAATAGGTTTTCAGAGATCGCCTAAAAGTGAGCAGAGTAGGGGATAGTCTGATAAATTGGGGTAGAGAGTTCCAGAGGATGGAGGAAGCTCTGGAAAAGTCATGGAGACGAGCATGGGTGGAGGAGACAAGGGAGCTAGAAATTTCATTTTGAATTGTTTCTTTGCGTATTAGTACATTAAATATATATGTAAAAAATGAACTAATAAAATATATGCAAGGGCTGTATGTAGGATTTTATTTGGCAGAAGAAAGGCATCCCTGAGTTTAATATCATAGAATCACAATGAGGTGTTACTATGGGAATCTTCTTACCAGAAAATAAATCCCTTTAAAACCTTTTAATTTTTTATTGTTTCTTCGCCCTGCAGGGTCTACGTATAAAAAAAAAAAATGTGCATAGTCAAGTAATCTGCATGTAAATTCATTCTGTGGGAATGAGCCGAAAACGAATGTTCTTTAGGCTACGTCCTCTTCTGAACGAATGTCGTTTTATTACAAGCAATAGTAAAATATTCCAAAAACCCGTGGTGTCGCGCTCCACTATTAGTACATTAAATATACATGTAAAAAATGAACGAATAAAATATATTGCAAGGGCTGCATTTAGGATTTTATTTGGCAGAAGAAAGGAATCCCCGAGTTTAATATCGCAGAATCACAATGAGGTGTTACTATGGGAATCTTCTTACCGGGAAATAAATCCCCCAACTTCACTTTGGATTTCATTTTTAATTGTTTCTTAGCCCTGTGGGGTCTACGTATAAAAAAAAAATGTGCATAGTCCAGTGAATCTGCATGTCAATTCATTCTGTGGGAATGAGCTGAAAACGAATGTTCTTTAGGCTACGTCCTCTTCTGAACGAATGTCGTTTTATTACAGGCAATAGTAAAATAGATTAAGTGTTTCTGGGTCCCTCTGAGCTTTGCACAGCCAGGCAACATGCATTTTCTAGCAGAAGAAATGGAGGGCGCCAGGTCAGGATGAGTAAAAACAGTAAAAAACTTTAAAACAGAAGACTTACATCCAGTGGCGTCCCAAGGCAGGTGTGGGTGGTGCGCGCCGCACCAGGTGACACCTACCGTACGGGGTGACACCGGACCCGCTCCACGAAAAGGTAAGTTGTAAAGCAAGCCGACTATCCCCGCAGGATGGATACGATCCATCCTGCGGGGATAGTCGGCTATCTTTACAACTTACCTTTTTAGTGGAGCGGGTTCGGTGTCACCCCGTATAGGTTGCATGCCGATGATCCCCGCAGGATGGATCGGATCCTGCGGGGATCGTCGGCTTTCTTTACAACTTATAAATGTGGTTAGATGCGTTTACATGCATTTGGCGTTTGAAACGCTGATAAAATCTACTCCTGAACGCAAGTTTTCTGCGTTAAAAAAAAAAAACTGTTAACTCAGACGACTGTAAACGACGATGTGTACACGGACACATAGGAAAAAATTAGGGAAAGTTCAGGGGCTGCTGAAAAAAACGCAGAAAAGCTCCTGAACGTCAGTTTATCATCTGCAGTGTACATGAGCCCTAAAACTCCTTCAGTCGGCATGTGGTTTAGAAGAACAGTATTTCCTAGATTGTAAGCTCCCAGGATCAGGGCCCTCCTAACCCTCTTGTATTGAACTGTATCGTTGCTGTCAGGGGCGAACTGACCATTTGGAAACTCGGGCACTGTCTGAGGGCCCGGGGTCAGTCGGGGGCCCCATGAGATACCCCTTGGTACCTTTTTCATAGGATTTTTTGAGTTTGGGCAAGGACACAGGGGCCCCATGATCCCTTATTGCCCGGGGGCCCCATGAGTTGTCAGTCTGCCCCTGGTTGCTGTATTGTCTCCCGTTATATTATAAAGCGCTGAGCAAACTGTTGGCGCGATATAAATCCTGTATAATAATAATAATAATTTTCTACACTTGCATCCACAGTCAGTGAACAGTCCATGACCAGGGGCAGACTGACCATTTGGAAACTTGGACACTGCCCGAGTTCCTGGGGTCAGTAGGGGGCCCCATGAGATGCCCTTGGTACCTTTTTCATAGGCTTTTTTGAGTTTGGGCAAGGACACAGGGGCCCCATGATCCCCTATTGCCCGGGGGCCCCATGAGTTGTCAGTCTGCCCCTGTCCATGAGCTTGGGTTTTGTTATTGGGAAATAACTTGGATGGGGTAATAGAGATTATGGGATGCCCAGCTTGACTGAATCAATCCACGGGGACAACTTCCTTCCT